TTATTTATCACGACATACTCGACTTTGATCGTAAAATTGAACAGATATTAAAGATACTACGATGTTAAGAGTTCTTCAATTAATTGTGGAAATTGTAGAGAATTTTGGATATTGGTTATTTCTCAAGCAAGTTATCGAGAAAGGGGCGTGAAACATAGTGATTCTCGAATCTCCCCAAGAGGCAGTATGCGGGCTCCGTAATGTAATATTAGGATACGTTCGATACGGATATAGACGAACAATTTACCAGCATCCGAACTATAGAGTCAAGTTACACCTGTGCATATAAATCGTTACGTTTTGATCAAGGTGAGAACCACAGGTTCGATTGGAAACGATCGACATCACTATATAGATGTTTCGCGATTTGATTTTCAGTAGTCTTTTCTTTGTTTCGCAACCCCTTTCTCGCACGTCATCCACTCGGAAGATACATATCAAAGTATTGAAATGTAATCGAACTCGCTGGGAAGAAATTTGAAATTTTGGCGTAATTTGCAGTTTTGAATTTGAATCAAAATTTGCAACCAAACAGCAATAAAGGTAAATGATAATTTTTAATTTCTTTATTACGTTTGTAGTTATATTTCGTACTTACCTTACAACTGATTTACCTATCAATTCAGATGAAAAAAAAGTAAGTATGTAAGCGTGGCAGGTTTACTTACCTTCAAATAAACCCATACTCTCACCGGTGTTTCACCGGGGGAAAGAGTCAATTAGTCACCCTCGGTGCGAAAGTGATTTTGACAGCAGGGACGTTTCAAAGAGCGAGCACTTTGATCAAGCCGTCGGTACTTGATACACTTCAATCGTTCACAGAATTCCATCGAATATTCTTATTAATCTCTTTACGTGTCGAGCAATTTCTACCGATTACATCGTTACTTTTACACTGCCTGTTGTCAATTGTTCCATCCTACGAACTTCAATTTAGTAGGAAATTGTTTTATAAAAATTAAAAAAAAAAAAATGACAAAAAGGGAGAGATCTTTCACAATCCTCTTCACTGAAAGTTCCTCGTGTCAGATCGGCTCGACAAGAATCCCGGCAACGGTCTTGACGAAAATTATCTTTCACTTCTTCTCGCGCACATTTTCACCCGACGGAACTTCAACGAACATAACCGGAAGCCCTCGTTTTCGATTATAGTTCATCGAGGACGCGATCAAAGTGACACTCGAACGATACTTATTATTAAACAATCTCAAATGACAATCATTCCGTTACATATTACATGTACGTATATTTAAGTTATAATTTTATTAATAATTAAATCTTTTCATCGGTCTTGGTTCGATGGATCTTGGCATATTTGGCTCTAATTTAATTTTAGTGTGAATTTTAAATGATT